GTCCTGACAATATCAGGCACTGTCTAAGGGTGAGATTATGGCAGCAGGCTTCTCTTGTACAGCTCTTAACCCTCCACTTGGTATGGTGTACTCCATATGCAATTTGAAGATTATTTCTACTAAAAAGTGCAAAATCCCTGCTTGAGCTTCAGCTCAGCTGAAGAGACAAAAAATTGGAGCAGACAAACAGACGGGTAAGGTTCTTCAAATTAAAACATGAACCATTTCTGTCATGTTTTTCCACATTGCTTGCTCCTGACTGAGATTTAATTACATCGTCTTGTTGTGCCCTCTTCTCTAATGAACTAATAGCACCTGACTGGAGAATTACCACCCATGGCTACTCTTGATGCTCACAACTCTTAATGCTCACATAAAAGAAGTTTATGGAAATGTGCAATTATATGTATTTTCTGTTGCCAATTTGCAGGAAATTTTAACATTTCACTGAATTTGGATGGAGATGTTCCTAATGTCCCAGTTTACCTTCTTCTGAGTGATGTTGACCTCTCTACAGTCTATCGCCTTGTATTGCAAACAATTAACTCTCCCAGTTCAAGGTTGTTTTAACAGGTGCTTCAATGGCTCATACAGCCTTGTGCACACACTTAAATCTAATAATCCAGATCAATTTAACCATAAAGCTTTCACAGGAAAAGGGAAACGGCCATTTCCTTTCTGACCACAGCCCAGCCAGCCAAGCTACACACCTCTGTTCACCTTTGAGCATGTGTCTGTCAAGACTTGGTATTAAGTGGTGTAGGACCACTCTGCAGCTTCCTGTTCTGTCCATGTTTAAATGGCACTGGCACGACAGTGTTTCCCTTAACAAACTAATGCTCATTCATACAGAGGTTAGTGGTCAGTCCACAGTGAAAGCTACATCCTGTTCCCTGGAGGCTATTTGTAAGAGATTTGGAGAGTGCTCTCCACTGATTCTGCAGCAGTTTCATCTGTTATTTAATAGTAGATCTTTTAACATTTTTTTTACCCAGGGGAAACATGAGTTGTCATTAAACCCCACCTTGTGTCACTGTTGCAATTATTTAATCTTCATACCAAGTAGCAAGGCAAAATAGATTCTTAATTGCTCTTACTTTACAGCTCCTCTTGAGTAGTTAGGCTAAGCACTGTGCATAAAGCTCCCTGGTGGATAGTGTCTGAGCCACATGGAACGTCATCATTCACTTTTATTGTCCATCTTAACTGGTGGAGGCTTAATCTTCAGACATTTAATGTAAGCAGCTTTCCACGTTCCTAAACCCTTGTTAGTACCCACTGCCCCCTCCCTCCTGCCAGGCCTGAATCCTTACATACTAATTGCTCCTACATTTCTCAACGCCACCTGTACTTGTCTGAATATCTTCAAAGAGAACTCCACCCCATGACATTTATGTCTGTGTACATGTCAGGTCATAGCTGTGCAAAGCGAGGGGTGTGTTTTGTGTGTCATTAGCTCCTCTCCTTCCTAGAATAAAGAAAAAAATGCATCACTCTCTTTATTCAGCATACACAGACATGCACACATCCAAACAGTGCTGCTAAATAGATTCTTGGCAAACACAAGCTGTGTTGACAGGAGAGATGAGCTGCTGTTCCTGTTGCAGCTTGCCAAAGGCACAGAGCCGGGCCCACGTTCAAAAAGAGCCGCCACTCTTGAAGCCACAAAGCAGGCAGACTTGTTGCTACTGCCTCTGCCAATACACACAAACACACACACAGACACAAACACAGCCATGTATTGCTGTATCAAAGACAACCAGGCGGGTGCTTCACTATTTGAACAGGTGATTCCCATTTAAATTTGCTGACCCTATTGGCTTAATGCCTTTTAGGAAGTCATGCTGTCAGCCAAGTCAATCACGCACTGCTAATTCATTGTACTTTCATATAGTTGATCATTTGAAATAATGCTGTAAAGTGCCACTGAGCCGTTGGAGGTGTAATTTTGTCTTCTTTTTTTTTGAGACATCAAAATTGGGTACTTTTCTGAGTGTGTGTCTCAAAGTCTCACTGTTCAGTGTCTGTTCTTGTATGACTGAGCTGAACAAGTGCATTTCATTAGAGTTGCATAATTTTATTCAGGTGGTGCTCAGGGCCTGTCTGACAGGCTGCCTAAGCGACTGATGATGATTGTCTTGTGTAGAAAGACCTGAGGTCTCGTAGAACACCCTCAGGTCAAGGTGTGATTTGAACCATTTCCTGTCAAATTCCATATTCAACATTAGACGCCAAGGATAGTGTTTTGGGTTTTGTGATTTCCCAACTGCTCATCTTACCACCATTTTTCTAAAAATCACATAGTTTATTATAGACTGAACAATTGAACCAGTTGCTTTGGAAAATGGTTGGTTATTTTGAAACATTTGAATCACCCATGCTGGTGACATCTTCTGGCCAAATTCCTGTAAATACAGTAGAAACTACCAACATGACGATTCAATGATTCAGAAGACCGATCTTTGTCAGTGACATATTCATTTTTATAATTTTGTAAAATAAACTTGTCTGTATATGTGGTGGCAAATGTTTCTGTGACTAGACCTTGATGGGGGAGAAGTGTTATCACTGTCATTTTCACAATATTGCTGTCTGACACTAAAGCTTCTGTATGTTCTATTTGTAGATATGTGTCATATATAAGAAGGTATTTATATTCCTTTACCTTCAAAATGGGTATGACTAACATTTTCAACAAAACTGTGTTTGTAGAAAGTAGGCCTACATTCTCTGATGGGGAGTGTTTGTGACTGGGGTTTTAGATAAGGAAGTGTTCTCAGGAGTTTTAATTCATAAAAACAATTTGCTGAAGTGTTTTAGGACTTAAGTGGTTTCTCTTTTTTCTCCATAAAACCTCTCGTGCTTTAGAGAATATTCTCACATGGGATAAATTTTGCTGGAATACATATTAATTAGCTAAATGAAACAGATTAGGGTAGATGGTTTGGTATGTGACCCAGTTTCCAGAGGATCACTTGTTCTGCTGAGGTATGATACTGACACATAGCACTGAAACTCCACTGTGGCATCTGCAGTGGTGTTCTGGGCCTTCTGAGTTTCTCCATATTTGTTGTTGAACAGGTCCCAGAGGTTTTCTTCCTCCTCACCTCTCTGGTTCGCTGCTGCTGCTGTTGATGAAAGCAACATTGTTATGATTGAAGTTTACATATTGTGTATATATATATGACACTTTTTCAGACTCAAAACATCTCAAAATGCTTTATACTCAGCCTGATGTAGATGGTTGACGGGGTTCAGGTGGCTGCGGGGGAATGGATGCTGGGTGGATTTGAGCACTCCATTCAGCAGTTAGTTCCTTAATTGCATTGTCAGCATTAGAGGTGTTTCTAAAGGCCAAGACATTGAACCTTGGGTCCAGCAGTGTTGCCTTTGCCAGGGTCCTTACTGATTCCAGCCCGCTAAAATGTTGCTTAAAGTTGGCAGTGAGGTTTCCAACCAGTTCAGTTGCTGTTGAAGATGTCAATCTTTGAGCCTTCTCATTCAGTTTATGGAAAATCATCCTGGCTATGAGTATGATTTCTGAGGCTCTGAACGTTCTCTGCTGACATTTCAATAGTGGCATGATTAAATGGACTGAGAACTTGGAGGCACTGGCTGATGACTTCTGTTTGGGCACTAGTTGGGAGGGTTATGCCACTGTTGGGTGAGGTCAGAGCAGCTCCAACAGATTCACACTGTACATACAACTTCTGGAGTATGAAAAATGTACTGTTGGTCTTCCCATTTGTTGCTGACAGTGGACAGCTTCTCTATGGCATTTATGCTTGACCAGAAGAATGAAACGTGTTTGTTTGGCCTTGACCCTCCTCCAGTGCCTTGCTCTGAGACAGGGACTTCTGTACAGCAAGATGCAAGGTATGGGCAAAGCATGGAATATGCCACATTTGAAGAAGAGTGGCACACTAAGTCATGTTTGAAGCACGGTATGAATGAGACATGAGACTTTATCTCTTATTCCCCAGGATTGTAGCAGTATAGTCTTGGCTTCTTTAATGTGCTCTGATGTGTATGTTTCAGGAAACCTTATGACTCCCAAACTCTTATTTGGTTATTCAGGTAGTGTAACTGTCAACTGAATCAGCTGACTGAAGATCAGCAGTTGTATGCTCCATCGGCCCCCAGTGGCCAACTGCCAAAATTTGAAACGTTTTATGAACCAGTGTGAAATAGTCATGTGACTTGGCCACTTTGATACACAAAGAAAGCATTGATTGGAAATGGAAGTGTTGCAAGTGGTTCGAAGCATGTCAGTACTCTGTTTCGAGTCTAACCATCACTATGGAAAGGTAAGTCCTGCTTGTGAGTTAGTGAGTGTAAACATGAACTTGCTAAAAGTTCACCACCGTTCACCACCATCATAGTCATCATTACCTACAGCTGTCATTCACGTGGTCGATCGGGTGAATGGATTTCGTTTAAATAGAAGTAAAACAAAATTAATTATTTGCATCTGCTGTTACTTTGAGAAACATTAAACTGGAAAACGTGCATTTGTAATGTTGAGTACAAATTGATACCAAATAATGGTAATAATATTTGACACCTCAACCGTGTCCCCTAGGCCTGTATCCAATAAAACTTCAAAAAGAAGGACAGCAACACTGCACCCCTCACTCCTGGACTCTCCTCATACCAGGATTATAATTACTGCCTTCATCCATTAAAGCCCCCAAAGCCATTTCCCTAATCAGTGGTGGTAGGGGTCTGGCTTCTGGTTGGCTTCTGTGTTTTATGTCAGTGTTACAGAGGATAATCTTGCTTTGTTGTTGGCTTGGTAAATTGTAGTTGGTCGCTCCATGGCAGAGGTGTCATCATGTGAATGCCAGGTTTTGTGTTGTATGTATATGACTTGGACTTTTTGGAGGAAAAAATTAGTCCAGTGTTTACATTATGTAGAAAATGACTAATGTATGGTTTTATGTTTTTCTTCCATTCTTGATGTCTGTACCTCTATGTCTGTTTTCTCCTCAACACTTCAGAGGAGTACAGAGGGGTTTTGGAAATCAGTGCCTCAGCAAGTGCTTCATGAGCCGACCAGGATTAGAATCCTCAATCCCCACTTCATCCAGGAAGCTGCCTTCCAGTTCATAGGTCTGCCCTACAACAATGGCGTAATGGGCAGAGGGGTAAGACAAATGCAAGCATCTCCTTTTTTCCTCCTTGCAGATTTCTTCATCACATTTTCATGGACTCCGAGGGTTAAAGAGGAAATGCCAAACAGTTTCTTGTTGTTGACATTGGTAAAATACCCTGGCTGAATTCTACACTGCTCTGCTGTTGTTTTAATGGTAGAAGTTGATTTATGTGCTCAGGATTGTTTGTGTTTGTCCTGACATGAGACTTCTGTGTCAGGCCTTGACCAGATCAGACTGTTTTGTTGGAGAAATAAAGTGAACAAATGTTGGTCAGGGCCCCACCAACTAGAATACAAGCTAAACATAACAAAGCATTTGAAAGCAAAACTGTGTATGTGTACGTGATTGGATAGGTTTGTGTGTTTTTAGTAAGTAGAGGGTAATATAGTTAGAGAATTGGAGGAGACGTGAGGGGTGTATCACTGTAGCTCTGCCCTCTAAGGCCATCAAAACACCCCTGCATGAACTCCACTTTGCCACATGTGTTCAACATGTGGGCATCTGGCCTCTGTGTGTGTGCGCTAGAGAGAGAAAGTGTGTGTGGTCATTTGTGCTTGTGTCTGGGTGTTTGCAGTGCTGTCTCATACAGTACAAGCTGCAGGGTTGTATGATTTGGCACATTTTCTCCCTAGAACACTTCCCTGTCCCTCTTCTGACATAAGTATATGTTTATGTACATGGAAATGAATGAGGAGGTCTATTTGTTATACAAGTGTTTATGTTGAGTGTGTATGTGAGTGTGTGTAAATTAATCTGCATTAGAACACACAGTAGGGGGTTGGCCAGCTGCTGGTTCAGCTCCACCTACCCTGAGGGCTGCAAATCAGGGTAATGATTTAAATCCCCCCCCCAAGACTTTCTTCTGCACAGTCTTTTTTTTCATACAAATGCACACACTCCCTTTTTCCTCTCTCTTGTTGTCTAATGTCCACACACAGCCCCTGTACCCCCCCAGATCTCTGGCAGCCCAGGGCAGTTAGGAAGTACAATTCAACTCTGTAGATCAATGTGTTGTAGCAGGGGTTTGCAGGGGTCGTGGCTTGAAGGTAACAGTTAATCACCAAGTGCTCAGAGTCAGTTAGCAGCAGTGGAGCAGAACAAAGACTGAGGCGTAAAGGCAGGAGGGAAGCAGATACATGATCGGGAGTGGACATCTGTGTCAGAACCATTGTCAAAGTATCTGGAAATGACAATTCTGAATACTTTTAGGCCATATTATTCTCTGCATTATTCAAAATAAATGTTTATCAATGAATGCTCCAGGTGTGTATGTGTCTGTGCATGAGCACCGTTATGTTTTGACAGTCTGTGTCTCTGTTTTTACTACAGAACATTCCAACTTTAGGAACAGTTGCCATCACGATGGCACTGCATAACTGTGATGAGGTGGCGGTGGCAGGTTTTGGCTACGACATGAACGCGCCAAATGCACTTTTGCACTATTACGAGTCTGTCAAGATGTCTGCCATTAAAGAGGTGAGTGTTTGAACATCTGAACACAGCACTTATTTCATACCTTGGCAGTAAACTAATCAAGGACCTCTCCAATTGCCAGATCATTAAAGGAGATCTGGTGGGACATTTCTCACCACGTTAGTTAATATAGTCTTGCACACTCATTTTTAACTGATGCATTTTTAGGCAACTAACTTGTGTTGTGGTGGCCGTGTATGCACTGCTCCTACTTTCAATGTGCACGTGCAGTAGTTTGTCCTGCGATTTTACATGACATAGTGAATATGTGAGTAGCATTTGATACTACCGGCTTTCACACTGTTAAAAGAACAATCATGATATCGTAGATGACATGTTGCACAACCCTAGCTTCAAGCCAAAATACATTCATAAAAAGCAATCACTATTTTGGTTGATGGTGATATTAGGCCAAGAATTGACCCCTTCTCTTGGCTTTTCTATTCACATACACACATACACTAGGATTTTTTTCTATTGCTTCCAACTGGGAAGTTCTTAGTATCTTGTTTCCTTTCACATCTGTCTCTCTGACACATCTGTTGCTGAAAATATTTAAATATAAACCTAAATGACTGATTAAGAAACAGATTTGTTAACTTTGTTCTGAATAAAAACTAAAGTTGGCAAAAAAGTACATTTGTACTTGTAAAAACTAAATTTACTAATCTATTAAGACTAAGGTGGTTAAAAATGTGCTTAGTCACTTTTACATGGCCTATAATTGAAGTGTGTTTTCATGAGTCTTTCATCAGTCAGTGTAGCAACATGCTAACTGTTAGTTCATCATTTGAACAGTGGTTTTCTAAACACCAGCATGACAGACCTCTCCTCTCTCCATCGGTCAAGTCTTCATCTCTGCGTTTACACTGAAACCCAGTGGAATCAGAGATGTCACCCATGTGCTGACACATGTAAACCATGAGCTCAGTACAATGATAACCTTGGTCTAAACTCCCAGTGAACCTTTGACATTTATTATCATCAGCAGCCGCACATGGCTAATTAATGGGAATACTTGTGGCTTTTTTGTTTGGAGCATTTAACAACTGCCAGTCCCTGGGGCTGTTTGATTTTTCTGGAACCACGCTGCTGCTGAGCTGTGCAGTCATCCGGGTACTGTTCCACTGTTCTGGAGAAAAAGCCTGTTACCTATCTGGGTGGGTGCTTTAACCTGAAAAGACACACCAAAAATGATAATAAAGTGCTGTGTACATCACCTTAGACAGTATGGTGCTCCTGAGGTCACCAGCTCTGATTTTTTTCTAATTTTGCTGTCTCAGCTTATCAAGCTTAGAAATGATTTAATTAAAGCTGCTATGATAAGTACTTAACATATATTAGCAATGGATCAAGTGACTTCTTGTGGCTCAAATGTACAATCAGCCATAACATTATGACCACCTGCCTAAATTAGTGTAGGTCCCCTTTTTGGCAAGAAAAATATGGATCCCTGTATTTGTCCAGCACATTCTATAGATGCTCGATTGAATTAACATTTGGGGAATTTGGAGGCCAAGTCAACACCTTGAACTAGTTATTGTGCTCCTCAGACCATTCCTGAACAGTTTCTGCAGTGTAGTAGGACGTGTTATCCTACTGAACAAGGCCACTTACATTAGTGAATACTGTTGCCATGAAGAGGGGTGTACTTGGTCTGCAACAGTGTTTAGGTAGGTGCTACGTGTCAAAGTAACATCCACATGAAGGGCAGGACCCAAGGTTTCCCAGAAGAACATTGCCCAAAGCATCACACTACCTCTGCGAGCTGACCTACTTCCCATAGTTCATCCTGGTGCCATCTCTTTTCCAGGCCAGTGACACACACACACCTGGCCGTCCACATGATGTAAACGAGTGATTCACTAGACAAGGCCACCTTTTTCCATTACTCTGCAGTCAGGTTCTGAGGCTCATGTGCCCATTGTAGACACTTTCAGCAGTGCACAAGGGTCAGTATGGGCACTCCTGCGGTCAGGTTCTGAGGCTCATGTACTCCTACCATTGTAGGCACTTTCGGCAGTGCACAAGGGTCAGTATGGGCACTCTGACTGGTCTGTTGGCTACGCAGCCCCATACGCAGTAAGCTTTGATGCACTGTGTTGTGACACGTGTCTGTCAGAACCAGCATTAGGTTTTCCAGCAATTTGTGCTACAGTAGCTCTTCTGTGGGATTGGCAGTCTGGGAGAAGCTCTGACCCAGTTGTCAGCATCACAGTTTGGCCCTTGTCAAAGTCCATCAGATCCATACACTTGCCTGTTTTTCCTGCTTCCAACACCTTAATTTCAAGGACTGAATGTTCACTTGCTGCATGATACACACCCTTCATGCTGACAGGTGCTATTGTAATAAGATAGTGTTGTTCACTTCACCTGTCAGTGGTCATAATGTTATGCCTGATCGGTGTATGAATGTAAAAAAACAAACAAAAAAAGATAAATTTGACAATTTTGAAAGTAAAAATGGATTTCAGTTGGACTTTAAACACTGCAGCTGTTTCCTGTGCCTATTTCCAAAAAAAACTGTTGTCCCTTATGGTCCTGGAGTGGCCCATCACAGTGGTAGGAGGTTTCACTCAGACAGGGCCAGAGCCCAAAGGACTTAGACTAAGTCAGAGTCTTGCAGGGCCAAACCTAGGGTTCTTTTTTTCTTTCCTCATAGTCCCTCCTGTATCTTTCTTCCTCCACACTCTGCCTCCCTTATTTGCTTTCTGGCTGTTTCTTTGTCTCTCCATCCCAAAGCAGCACACAGGAACCACTGGCTCTGATTACACTGAGCCCACTGGATGTCAACCGCATAGCACAGCAGGGAGGAAGACTGACCCAGTGTGGCTTCACACTTAATATATGCACACGTACACACCCACACATATAGACAGTGGGAATACGCAGGTCTCAAACCAACACACAGGCTTGTAACTCTGAAGGATAATGCAATGCTTTGTGTATAAGTGCTGATGAATGTGGCCTCTGTGGTTACTGTATCTTCCTGCAGTATTCAGGATGTTGTATGACTGAATTTGTTTTTCTCTCACAGTCATGGACACACAACATATTCAAGGAGAAGGAGTTCCTCCACAAGCTGGTGAAGGCTAATGTTATCACAGACCTGACCAAAGGTATCTGAGTTTACACCCACTCTCAGTCTCCTTCTGCCTTTCCCAAGGGGCTACGAAACAGGAAGCTGGGAAACGAATCGAGGAGAAAGAACCCTTAGAATCCGGGTGGCCCACGTGCTGCCAGAGTTTTTATATCAAAGGAGATTCTTTTAAAGCAAGATATAAGAGGATGGAGAGATGGACACATGTGGCTTCTGAACCAAAAACCCCTGCTGACTGAACAAGGACTGGATCGTCCTGGTTCCGCAGGAAAGCTCTGCCGGCCCCGCGCTTCAGCGTATCACAAGTTAATTATAAAAGCAGAGGTGTTGTATCAGCATGCAGATGTCAGAGTTTAGCTTAATTGAGGAAGGAATCCTGGAGAACTGGATGAAGAGGACTGTACCAGAGAGCGTGCAGTGATGGGTGGAGTGTTAGCAGTGCTAATCGTACCTCGGGAGATGGCATGCTCCTCTCCCTTTGCTGCCTGAATGTATTCACTTTCCTCAGTGTAAATAAACATGTAAGAAGCTGCAGCAACCACCCCCACTATCATCACTAACCATCCTCCATTCATTCATTCACTTTACCATCTGTCTAGGGTCCAGAATCGGTGTTTGCCAGGCCAGATGGCAGCAGATAAATCAGTGAGGGTCACCAGCCACACAGACAGGTGTCACTTTGAGACACTAGCCTTCGAGTGTTAAGTGAGTTAATATACAAGTTTCAAGGTTTCAGTGTTTGTTCTCATCAAGTTAGAGGCCGCCAAAAAGAAGAATGGGGAGATGAATAGCAGATTCATTATTTAAAAGTGTTAAGTTTGAGTTAAACTTACTGTTTTTTAGGTTTGTAAGATTTTCTACTTTACACAGTATTGAACAAGTGTGTTATACGTGGATTAAAGTATCTTAATTGTTTAGGGTCAGTGTAAATTATTTTTGTTGTAGACTTCTATTGTTTTAAGTCAGCCAGCTCTGTCAGGTGAGCCCTGTAGTAAAATCTGGACACCTCATCTCTCGCCTTGTCTCCTTTGTCTCTTTGTAAATCCTCCCTGCTCTCGGTTTACTCCTGGCACGGTACAGTGTTCGTCACTTCATCAGCTGTGAGCCCTCAGGCGGCAGCGGACATATCCAGCACTATAACGTGTCAAGGAGAGCGGAGGCTGTGTGTTGGAGCCCTTTTTTTTTTTTTTTTAACTCCTGTTGCTGCAGACTTTCTTGTTCTTCACTAAATGATGAAATCTTAGACTGTAGAAAATGAATATGTATTTTTTGTTTTGTTTTGTTTTTAGGTCATTTTTAATTATTTATTTTGTCACAAACTCCCAGCCTTTTGGTCACAGACAGGCCTGCTTTCTGTTTTTGATCATAGTCGCCACCATGTGCTTCCTCAGAAAATCACGAATCCATCGATGCTTCTGAGTTTTGGCTTAATGTTAAATGTCAGAAACCCTTTAGTTCAGCCTCTCACACAGCTTACATTAACATGACGTGTGCTTGTTTGAGAGGACGGATACCTAATATCAATTTCTACACATTTCTTTAAATGTAGAAAGTATTAGCTGTTCAGTGGCAGCACGTGCTGATCAAGCATTTGCACTTTGAAGATAGAGGGTTCTGCTACACGCTTTTCAGTATTTATTCACTGCAGTAACAGACAGTAGAAAGGGTTCAGGATTTTCCTTCTCCCACATAAAATACATAAATTAGCATAAATGTTCAAATCAGCTTTATATAACGATGGTGCCATTTTTGTTTGTTTCACTTTGTCAAATGACAGTTCAGTGGGGGTTTCACCTACTTTCTGTTTCTGCTTCTTCTTTGGAAGTGCTTTTCTTTACTGTACACACACACACACACACACACACACACGTCAATTCCATTACTCTCAGTCAGTAAGCTGCTGCTGTTGCATCTGTTCCATTCCTCCACAAAGTCTTTCCTTTCTTGATTAGTTGCCACAAACACTGATCACGCAGCCGTACATCCTTTGCCGCCGCGGTTTGGCTTGGTTTATAGAAATTAACTTTTTTGGAAAATGAGTTCCTGATTATGACTTTTTTTATTGAGAGCAAAGGTACAGGAAACAGCATGAGGCGCTCTCAGTGCCTTACACCACATCACCTGGAAACTGTCACAAGGGGCAGGAAGGTAACCGCAGCTGAGTCAGTATGTAGGGCCAGATCCAGGTGAGGACAGGTCACTCATCATTTTTTGTGAAATTGAGACCTGTCCATTTCATATCTGTACTGTGTGTTTATTATATATAGTGCAGACAGACTTAAAGCCCCATACTGGTGGTTTAATATGTTTTTAGCCCCTCAACTATGTACAAGTGTATTTTAGATGATAGCCTACCTACTAAACAACAACTGTTTTAATGCGAGAAATTACCAAATGCACTTTTTGCTTCATCATAGTGTTTGTAAACAACAGTACAGTGGTGTTTGACAGCTGAGTATTACAGGGAAACTCCTGTGTGTACACATGGTCAATAGTTCACTCTCGAGTACTACACAATCAGTGAAACAGTTGTGTAATACCTCCTGTGGTTCTGATGGGAGCTTTCCAAAATTGGACTAAAGTAACACTGGTGATGTCATCGGGGGAGAAATGTAGTATCCAGTGTTTTTCAGAGTTGACCCATGGTGCAGACTGAAACCTGGGATGTTACAGCCTTTGATTATGACCATTCATTTTGAAATCTGTCACTTGCTGTCCTGTTTTCTCCCAGCTTTATGGCAGTGCAATAATAAATTGCTGTTGTAGCCCTTTAATGTCTGAATGTTAGAACATCCTCGAATGCACCAGCAAAGAGAGCTGGACAGCGGTCCCTGCTGACTGCAGTAGTACCATAAATAAAGACAGCTGTCAGGTTGGGCATCACAAACGGGTTAGGTTTTTGGAGGGCAGATTTTTTGAGTGTTCTGAAGTCACTGGAAACCAGTGGCTTCTTGGAAGGCAGAAAATCAATGTACATCTTATGGATGTGTCATGGAAAATGGAGATTTATGTAAAATATGTGCACGTTGTACTCAGTGGGCTAAAACCTGCCACACCATCAGTATGGTCTTTAAAGCTTTGAGAATGACCAGATCCTTACTTCAAGTGAACACTTTTTTTTTTCTACAGTAGCTTTTGAAATTTGCTGAATGCTGGAGGAGTTCAAATGAATTGGACCCAAATCAAATCTTCTAATAACCTGTTCAACAGAATGTATTCACTAATCATTTTTCGATGCTTTTTTTTTTTTTTACATTTCATCAACATCAATGGGAAGTTACTTGGATCAGAGGTTTTACTGTTTGTTTCTTTGTTTTTTATACACGAGTATAAATAGCTTTCTGCATCTCAATAAAAGACTTTGTAACGGACAGTTGCCTGTGCATGTTTGCATCTTGGATCAGCTATATATATTTTCCTAGCTCAATGATTTTGGGGTGGGGGGGGTTATCTTCTTGTGTATATATTTATATGTATGTTTCTGTACACTGAATTTTCTGTATACGTAGTGTGGCAGCCTGAACATTTTTGCACTTCTTTTCAAAACACTGTCCATCAGTGCCTCACTCCAATGTGCTTACAGCCGGGGAGTCCTCGTATATGCAGCGCACATCAGGTATTATCTAGCCTGTGTGTCACTTTCAGAAGTTACAAACTGCAGGAAGCTCGGAGTAAAGATGAAGGAGGGATGGAACGGAGGCGTGTGGAGAGGGGGATTTCCTTTGCTGCTCTGTACTCTGTATCTCCTACCTGCAGAGCCAGAGGAAATCATTTTTCAATCCTCCATCCACCAAACTTCCTCCTTAATGTACTCGCCTATTCTCTGGTGTGTTTATGTCAGTACCACTCTGTCCCTCTTACTCTCACTTTTTTCACCCCACCTACTCTTCTTCTCTCTGTTTCTTTCTTTTCTTTCGCTGGCTGCTCACGTCTGTGCCGTGTATTTATTTCTCTCTACCTGCTCTGAGGTGGATTTTGTTCTGCTGTTTCCGTGAGGGACCCATTTAAGACCTGATTAGCGCACACACAGAAACATAAACATAGTTAATTCAGCTGCAGCCGTGATGCTCTCATTCACTTTAACAGCCACAGCGTTGCTGAGAATGAGTGAGAGCAGGCTGTCCAGCTGTGGGCTAGTGTCAGTGCCGTCGTAAGGTGAAAGAGGACAAGACGCTGAGGGGCTCCCTTAAATTACCGTTGGGCCGTCCCATCCTGCTGTAAAATGGGGTGCCAGAACTTTTTCAACCCCCACAAGTCATGCCTCAATGGTCAGCAAAACCACTGAGCTCTGGCTTCTCTGACACCACAGATTTCCTGACCTCCACAGGCTGGGATTGAATACTCACTCAGGATATTTGCCACCTGGGATCCCCCCACCCCCCGAGACGGCTGGCTGGCCGGTCAGCTAGAGGCGGTCATTCCTGTTTGTCCAGCAGACAGGGATATGAGCATGTCTGCAGCTCATCAGCTGACGGGCCTTTTATTCCCAGCGACAGGTTCCCTGCCCCACCTCTTCTCAGAAGGGTTGGAACGGAAAGGTCACAACCTTCAGGGCCTGAAATCTAAGCTCCTTGTAAAAAGCTGGAAGGGGGATAGAAAACACCCAGTTAGACACCCATTTTTGGTTTGTTTATTTAATACCGGGTCAGCTGAGAGGAAGGAAAACGGCATTCCCTTCTCTGCACTGTGTCTCACATTCTGTCAATTTACTTTTGTCTGTGGCCTGGACACACCTACAGTTTCGTCATGTATCTGTACCACTGACTGAGTGCGGTTTCTTGTTCCGTCAGCCTCTAAACTCATAGTGCGCAAGCTGAAAAAACTTAGAAAAAATCAACTGGACTAGATTTCTAGGTCGAAGATGTTTCACCTCTCATCCAAGAGGCTTCATCAGTAGTGCGCAAGTATCATTTCTGGATCGCTGGTAGGCCTTTGTATCAGCAGGAGTAGTTCAGAATGACAGAACTTTTCAAAGACGACTGAATTTTTAAAAGCTGGTGAAGCCTTGTTTGATGTTACTGATTGTGTCTCTGTCCTGGGAAGGAAATGGATTACACAAGCAAATGCTCAGAGACAAGAAGAAAGGTAAAAATAAATAAATCAAGCATCTGTAAGTCAGAAAACACTTCACTCAGTCAGTTATGTGGCCTTTAGAAGGAAGTACAAGGAGACTATAGTAGATGTGACAGTATTGTATTCATTCACGTTAATACTGTGTTTTTAGTAAAATTAAAAGAAAAACATAACGCAACAACATAACACATAACACTCTTTTGGAATTGTCATGAGATTTGTCATAAAATTGTAGTTACAGATTTCCATTTCTTTTTCTTCTGCCGTTGAAGATGGTGTGATGTGATCAAAAGCTCCTCAACAGCTACTCAGTGGACCTTGTATTGTGTTAGCATGCTAACACGAACCTGGTGGACCAGGTTCATGTTAGCATGCTAACACGAACCTGGTGGTGTATGTGGTAAACTTTATACCTGCTAAGCATCATCATGTTGGCATTCTTCCACAGTTGTTGCTGAAGAAATTGCTTCATTTGTTATTGATTATTGTTGCTGTTCTTCCCATTATTTCAGCTATCCTTCCTGACGCCCTGAAGTTCCATCACTGCTTCCATCTGTAGCTCCCATGTTGTGCACTCTGCTCACTGTCATCCATCTACATAATAACACCTCTCTAATCATGCCATATGATGACGCTCTGTTTTATGATTTGTTTGTATGAACAGTGATATAACAAAGCTGGAGGCGGCAGGAATTTAGCTTTGAAAAGCTCTGATGAAGTGTAAATTACTGAAGATTTATCAGCTATATTCATTTGCTGAGCTAATGTGGAAACATGCCGTTATGGAGTTCACTGTTTTGCTCTTCTAGCTACAGTATGACTTTGTCCCACAGATTGGGGCTGAGGGGTTTGGACAGTTTTCTGGAGGAAGGGAGTTCCCACTTGAAGAGTGAAAACAAACTTAAAAGCTAGATGAGGCCCAAGAAAAGAAAGTCACTTTCGAATGGAGAGAGAGCACAATAGAGGTGGGGAGGAAGGACAAACAGCGAGGGCAGTGACCTGTGCCTCCAGAAAAAAAAACAAAAAAAAAACAGACAAACCTTGGTGGGAAGGAATTACCTGCTTGCTGTCCTTCACATCTGGCATACTCACTGTTCTTTCTCCATTCTGTCTCCTCTCAGCATCACCACCCAAATCCAAACTGCCCACCACCTTCGCAGCGCAGTCCTGAATGTGTATGGACTCATGACAGAACCAAGCATCTACAGCAACCGCTATACACACAACAGGAGGGCAGTAATATTTGGGAATACATCTCCAGACATTTAAAAAAAAAAAATCCAAACCTTGTATATTGTTAAAAAATGTTGACAAAAATCTAGTTTTTATTCCATTTCAGGGAAATTAAACATTTCCCAGGAGTCATCAGGTTCCTGTAGCTGGCCAGAAACTACATTTGAATGAGTGTGTGCTCAAGCTCTAAATGTGTTGTGCTTGCATGAGGTTTAACTGTGGGTGTACTAACAGTGTCATGCTGTAAATCCCTCTCACACTGCCAAATCACCTTCGCTCACTGTGATGGATGATATCCACGCATTTATAGAAAGCACACACACCTCTTAAATTTGTGCTGTCCTCTGCTATAACTCTGCTGCCTGTCTGCTGCCTTAGAGTTTACACAGTGATTTGTTTTATTGAGGACATTTTTTCAATCTGGAGATTATCTCAAATTTCTAAGAGCATGATTTGGTAGACCAGTCAGTTTCATGTGTGTTTCAAAGAGTAAAAACAGGGGAAGAAAGTTTTCTGAAATGTTGTTTGCCATTGTTCACTCATCTTGGATATCAACCAGTCACAAATATAATCCTAGCAGGTTTCTCTTCCCTCCTGTTGTTACTGAGCTCATCCTTATTATCTGACAGTACAGAACATTCCACCATGTCATGCACCTCAGCTGTATGCATTGTTGTCTTGTTGGTCGCTACTATTAATAGCACGGTGGCAGAGACAAGGATCCTCCCTGTAGTTGTCTCTGCCTCAGTGTGAAGAGTGGGCCCAGAGAGGAGAGTCTAGGAGCTGTTTACCCAGCCTTTGTGCTTGGCGGGCCTCAGTGTTTGCCCTGCAGGGAGTGTCTCAGCTGGGAGGCCTTCCCATGTGTTGGAGAATGGGTGGGTAGAGTGGGGTGGCAGGACAGAACGGGACAAACTCAGAAGGTGGAGGCCTTTGGTTTGCAGCGCAGTGAGGAGGGCTCTGTGGTGTGTGCATGACAGCAGGTGAAACAGAGACCAGCCCAGGAAAACACACAAAGCAGGGTGGAAAAAATGCTTGAGTGTGTGTTTACAGAATTCAGGCCTACAGGTGCATGCATTCAATTGTGCATGTGTGCCTGAAGGGATTACAGATGCGTGCTTACTGTGCACAGGTCCAGGGTTCCTAGGGGTCAGTGGGCAAAACGAAAACACAGAGACATAAAAGACAATAAAGAGACCTGAAATTACCACAGAGCTGCAGAGTGGGGGCCTTTTACCTGCATGTGATCAGGGTCCCTTTTTCTTACACTCCGTCCATGCGCGTGTCTCTCCATGCATGCACTGTCTGTGTGTTCACCTACAAGTAGAAACCATTGAAACATGAGTATTTGTGACTCCAGGAGTGTAAACACAGGCCTAAAAATGTCGCTTGATAGATTATTCCGGTGGAACTCTTTTCCGTAAATGCTCCATGACCCGTCCCTGTATGACAGTCTCTCCCCTCCCTCTCTCCCTCTTCCCAGCACAGGAACACAAAGACATCTGAGCTATGTGGATGGGGAAGAAAAAAATCACAGCACTTTGTACAGCGGCCACCGCGCTCCCTTTTCACAGTCTCTGACAGGCAGAGCGGCGCGCTGTTTTTACGCATAGCCTCCAGTCCTGCGGGGCATTGCAGACGTTGTTTAGTAGCTGTGTAACAAACTCATGAGAAGACATCAGAGAGGCACGGTCTTTGACAACCTGGATATCCTAGTCCAAAGTAAGAGAGTTTAGAAACATACACAGAAGAGGTACTTGCTTGGAGTCGCTGGCTATAGCTGCGCAAAGGCGTGACGCATGGACATTGTGTGTTCATGTAATATTTTGACCGACAGAGCAGCGTTTTTTTTTCCCAGTTCGACTTTCACATTCTAATCCGTTCAAGACCAGCTGACACGTAAAAGAAGAAAAGACTTTTGCTGTTACTTCGTCCCAAGTTAAGGAACCGCGCAGTCTCTCCTTGGACGTTTTGAAACAGAATCGACCTTGACTTCACTTTAAAGAGACACAGAACATGTTGTGAGAAATTTTCCCGCGGTATTTTTTTACACATTAACCATACAAGCTATTTGAAGGCAAGACTGAACAGGTTACTGAAGGCAAGGAAAGGGGAGTTGTGCCTGAAAAACTGGCTTCATTTTATTAAACGATGGTTGGATGTGAGTCAGCAGAGACACGGCACGAGCAGCAAATTGGGGACATTGTTTATTTTTTTTTATTTATTTTACAATTCTGTTTGTCTGTTCTCAGCCGTTCACTGTGTTGGTTTGCTTATGTCACGGACTCCTGTCTAATTAGATTTTATACAGGCGTTACCCTGCATGCGCCAGGCAGCTGTAAAGTTTGTTTTCCTTCACCTGAACCATCTGCCGTCTGCAAAATGTCAAACTTAAGTCATTTTGTTTTTTATTCTGAGTTCAAAGATGCTTTTCGCTTGTTTTCAGCTGTTTCTTATTCCAGTATTTAGAAACAAGTGTCTTGAAATGACATAGGAGGTGACAGATGCAGAGATTGACTTTTGATTTGACGGCGAAGAAGCTCGTTTTCTAAAATAATTGATTTCGAAAATTGTTTTTTATGTGGAAAAACAGTCTCAATCGTTGGTTAATCTTTAAAGCCATTGTAATACGTGACATTTAATTTGATAATATTTTGTACGCAGGTTAACAGTCCGCCTCCATCCTCCGCCCTCTGTTCTTCTTCATGGTGCTGAGACTCTGCGTGGATCCGTGACAGGACACCGGCCAGAGAAAAAAGGATTTTGGCCGCATAAAAAACGAGGAGGAGGCGCCTCTGGCGTTGAAGCTGAGCGGCTTTTAGATGGATCCTTCATGTTTGCTTCAGTCTCAGAGGAGACAGTCTGCTCTGAACACTTCCAGGTTACCGTGACAGTGAGGTGTAAAACATGACACATCGCAGCGTATGGATTGCCAAAAACATGAGCTGCACCCAGCCTGAAAGAAGCGGCTCTCTTGTCCTCTCCTGCGCGCACTTGAAGCAGATGATTGCGCGCAAGACAGTTGGTAAGGCGCCATTCAGATTCTGTTAATAGTGATTTAAAACAATGTCATTTAGAAGAACGCTGCTGGATATTTTATCATTTAAAGCAATGCCGTTATATCTTGTGATTATGTTTATGCGTAATGTCGCCGTAAAAGCAAACTTGGACTCTTGTTTTCGTGTTTGACGACACATCGGTGGCTTTTGCTGAGCTCCAAACCCCCCTGCAGGCACCTGCCATCTAGTTTGGGCTTCTCCAACTTTTAGGGTCACTGTGACCGGGATTTAATTTAGTGTTTACTGTGAGTATTTTTGAAATGCACCGTGGGAGGAGGATGGTTGTTCCCTGAAGTTTGATAGTTTACGGTCAGCAGTGTTTACAAGGTGCGAGAAGGTGAGTGAACTGTGGAGAAATATCAAAGTCAGAATACTGTGCTGTTACGTGTGTGTGTGTGTGTGTGTGTGTCTGAATTGAAACGGTGGCAGTTAGGAAGTCTTGCAGCGCGACCCTGTTTTGTGGTGGGCGGCAAATCTAAATATCACACCACACATACACGCACACAACCAGGCTCACAGCTGTGTCCAGTTCCCTCCTCTGTACCGTCTTTAATTGGTTTATGGGCAGATGAAGCCTTTTAAGCTTCAGGTGTTTGGAGCTACTTGAAGTCAAACACATTTCTGTGTTGGATGTTTCAGAGATGCTGTTTCAGGATATCTCTCAGCATTATTTTTCCATGCCACACTCCCAGTTTCAGCTACTTTCCAAGCTGCGCAGCTTGTTAAGATTTGTCCATTCAGAGCTGTAAAAGTAAATATGTGATGTGTCACTGACTCACATTTGTATCTGAACTTTCATACTTACTCACTGACTCAATGACCGACTGACTCATGTCAGACTTGTACACAGATGAGGCTCAGTTGGACGATGGCAGGCCTCAGATGTTCAGAGTTGATGTCTTTGGTGTTTCATTTTTTTCTCCCCCTCTTCTCTGCACCTCAAAGCTGTTGTACTTTGTGTGAGAGAGAGCTTTGGCATCACCTGCGACATCACACACAACCCAAACACCCCCACCCCTCCAAATTAAATGACTGTAACATGTGGGAAATCATGTTGTGAGCCAACTTCGTTTTTCTTTGCCCGTGCCTTTTAAAGCCTCAGGTTTGTACTCAGGCTGGACACAAGAGTATCACGCCTGCTTGAGGCATCTCTCACCCCCCGTCACGCTGCCGCAGCTTTTGCTTCCTCCAGTCAAAGGTCACAAGATCAGCAGCCTCGCAGAAGGTCAGGTACTGCAGGCCGACATGTTCTTTTAACCGGCAGCCTCCTGATGTGTGGTCTGGTTTGTTTTAATGAGCATGTGGCTTTACGAGAACTAGCACGCTGTTTGTTGGCGCTATGGATTTAACTCCTTCTTGCTCTGGTGCTCTTCTGTGTTGTTCCTCAAATGCACAGAGAGTCAGTTAAACACAATTAAAACAACAAAATAAGTTGTCATTATTGCTATCTATTTATATAAAAGCATCCTCATTAATGTACTCGGACCAGGCTGTCACAGTTTGTCTTCCTCTCCCAGTTTTTTTCACTGCTCACTAAGTTTTCAGATGCAGAGCCTGATACCTCCAACTTTGCTATTGTGTGTTTCATTTAAGAACCTTGGTACATATCGAGGATACAGCCTCTCTGTTTTTGTAGACCATGACTTTTTTTTTTAAACTAATTCACACTCACTCTTGACTTTCTTGGTCTGAAACTGCATCCTGTTGCACAACATGATGCAGTTTCAGGATCAGGATTCTTACTCTCGTTTTCCTGAGTTAGACTTGCTATTAAGTCATTACAAGGCATTAAGGCTAAGTGTTAGCCAGCAATGTCACCCATACAACGTTTATACGGAAACGCTGCACCCAAAGGATAAGGTAGAAACATTTTCTCTGTGAGCCTACCTGACTCTGTACTGTACATTAGTATTCACAGCTAGAATGAGAAGAAACACTTCATCCATGTTTTTAAAAAATTTATTTTACTGAAAATGTACTACCATATAATGTTCTATGAAGTAATATTATTTTCTTAGCAAGGCTTAAAGGCACCTTAGATGTGTTTTTTTTCTTCTTTGTCCTGTGTCACTGTTAGAAAAGCAAACTAACCCAAAGTGTCTGTTAGCTCAGCTCAGGACTGGTTCAATCAGTATGTGTGGCATGAGATTTTTAAGAATGCTAATTACATTATTTAAAATTTTGTAAACAACACACTATACAGTCAACATTTATTAAGGTGTGTTTTTACTGCGTGATTTATTCTGCTTAGCATGGATTTCTTTAACGAATTTCATTATAATATTTATTTCATCAATAATTGTATTATAAATGTGTGATCTGTCATTTTCTAGAATATATATATATATATATGTATATATATATATATATATATATGTATATATAAAGTTAAAGTACTCTAAAGTAAAGCTAAAGTACTCACTAAAAAGATTCCTGACACAAAAGAAAGTTGAAGGGACTTTAATCCAAAGGCTAAAGGAACAGATTTATTGCTAAGAATGGAACTATAAGCTACATAAAATGCCCCTTTGAACACGATGACAAGTTTCAGTTCAACGACAGACTAGAGCTCTTTGCTCCTTCCCCAGCAGCACTGACACAGTTAAACATAGTGGACTGTTAAACTAGGGCACAGTCCTTTCAAATGAGTCGAATTCTGTCAATAAAAGATGGATGTGTGCTCTGCGCACGGAGCCTTGTCCTCAGCTGGGTCTCTGACTCGGTGTGTAATGTTACTCTGGTTGTTTTGTCCCGCCGCTAATGGAGAGAGAGTGCAGTGAGAGAGATTGATTATGCAACCTGAAGTGCCACAGGGCAACTTCAATCTGGAAGTGCTTAAAGAATGCAGCGAACCACAGTGATTCCTTCAGGGAAAATTGAAGGAGGCATGATCTGACAAAAAGGAATTTCAATTTGTTAGATGTATTCAGACAAATGCTTCCCATACTGCTTCTGTTTTCTGGGTCCTTGCTTTTGTAGCGCTGGACAATCTTGTAGTACACTGGGGGAATTATTCCTTTTCTCTGATCTTGAATTGTTTTGTTGTTGCTGAGTTCTTTGGCGTCTTCAAGTTCAATCATCTTAAATTATTTAGAACAAGGCAGCAGTTAATACTTTTGGAGATGCTGATGAAACATAAAGCAAACGCCTGTCCTTATCAGAAAATCTCCCTCCTTAAAATAACTTTTTCTCAAAATACAGAAGAATGTTAACTAGCTCCGCACAGTGTTTGTCTGAGAGAGTGTTTTTTTTTTTTATACAATCAGCTGTATTCTTCTGAAATTAGCAGGTCAGATTCATTAATCAAAGCGTCTAAGGCCTGCTTTGAACCATCAGGCCAGGTCATTAAACCCAGTCTGTCTGGGGCGCAAGCGGGCGACACGGAAACACTTTGGAGAGCGCTGGTTCACCCAGACACTAGTCACACTAACAATGGCTGTGTGTGTGTCACTGATACCCACTTTTCAGAATGCTACTCTCGGGCTTAGCTTGAGCTTAATTTAGAGAAATAACAACATGAGATGGGAGCAGGAAAAGGTCACAATGGGGATTTCAGGTTGTGTGTGCAGTTGTGTATGAAAGGTGAGGGGTTCTGTGTGCATATGTGTGTGTGTAAAGTCGGTTTTAGTGGAAATGTCAGATTGTGCTGAAGACAATTTAAGCGGAAAAAGAAAGAAAGACAAACTTTGATTTCTTTGTGTTAAATGCGCGTGTGTGTGTTTTTATCTGCTCCTCATCCTTTTCCATTCTTTCCCTCTGTCTCACTTGCGGCCTTTTTAAGCTCTGCCGACCTCACAAACACGGGGAAGTGAAACCCTACCCTCCAATCTTCACTCCAACATGGCTAAAATGTGTTCCCATTTAAGGTGAGGCTCACCCAGCCACTCTCTGTGTGGCTTCCTTTTAAAACCAACTTAATCAGGCAGGAATTTGGGTTATTAGGGTCAGGGACGTTGGGGAAACTGCTTTAGTGAGAAATGAAGTGAAGGAGAACGGAATGGTGAGGACACAGATGTGTCGCATCAGCAGGCTGTCTTTATCTCAGCGCTTATGGGGAAAATGGGCCCAGTGCAATGGATGATGGTGTCCTGTCTAATTTACCTGATCGAATCACAAGATGCTGTTCCATTGTGGGTAACAGTCGCTAGGTGGGTAATTAGCGCTAATGGCACATTAGTTAAACTTTCCAGTGACCCTGCATGCTTAATCTGGTTGAGGCCATTGTACATCATGGGAGTTGCAGCTGATGTGGAAAATCCTGCAGAAGCTTCATTCCACATCCCAGTTGTACTTGAAACCTTTCTCTGTCGTTGCTTTGCTGTTTCAAAAGCTGATGCACTTTTTTGGTGATGTATTGCAAGATTAATGTGTTTGATTAGAACTTTGCCTTATTGTCATAGCTGTGGCCATCTTTCCTGTTGCTAGTGACATCTTCCATTCATTCATCCATTTAATTGGTGAGATCTGGGAACATAGTGACACTGTTAAAGAGAAAAAGCCTGTCAGTTGCCATGTCCTCCAGATGTGAGGCAACATCAGGATTCATTCAGTCCTGTTTGTGTCCAAAGGGATAATGTAAGTCCAAGCGTTCGTTCTTCTTTTAGCTCTTATCGCCACAAACTCCTAAAGGAGATATTAGCGCCTGTAGCTGCTAAATCCTGCAGTATATTCACTAGCTAGCTGCTAACTTTGCTGTTTGGAGCTCAGCAGGTAGGGCACATGGGCTTTATCAGAGATTTTCTTTACTGAAAACTGCCAGTTGCATTGAGAATTAAACATAATATTAAAATTGTGGGCCCCCAACCCAAAATAGACTCTAAAAGACCTTGTGCATCTAACTATGAAGCTGGGTGACAATTCTTTAAGCATCATTTACAGACTGACCTGCTGGAGTGTTTTTTTTTTCAATAGTAAATTATTATCAACATTTCAGGTGTGCTGAGTTTGATTTTTCCTCCAAATGAAG